TTGAACATTGATGTTGTGACGATACCGTTTTGTTTTCTTTTTATTATTATTATTATTAAAGTCCATGCCATGTGGCGCTGATAGTCATGTTTATCCTAAACTGTCCGTGTTTCATTATTATAACATCGTAATCCTTTTATTTCAGAATAAAAGCTATACTATTATGTGTACTTTATTTTCTCCAAGATGACGTGGTAAACATTATACTTTTGGAGCTGGAGAGAAAAATTACACTGAGAACATTATTACTGGAACTATTTTTTAAAACAAAGTTAAGAATTTGGTCAAGGAACAAAAGACTGCACAACTTATTGCCTGGCATATTTCACTGTATCTTGTCAGGTGCATACTACAGTAACAATTAAACCAATGAAGCAAATAAGTGAACCATTTATAATTGAAGTACAAATTCAATCACACTCAAAAGCGACTGCACGTAAACTAATCGAGGCGTCTTCAATAAGTCTTAGCGCTAAGTTATTGTGTTAGTTGCGTATCCTTTACAAGACACCGCAGAACCAACCCCAGCATTTTAGGGGGAGGGGGGGGGGGATGTGGTTTTTCTAGGCAAGTTTACGTCAAGTAGTTTGCAGCACTAAGTTGAGAATGCATAAAACTGATCTAGGTGGCAACTCAAATCTCAATCATGTGGTTCAAATTTACAAATTAAAAAAAAAAAAAAAGGATAAATAAAGGCATTTAGATCGAGTAATAATTTCATCAGAAGTCAAGCATGGATCATGGTTGGTGGTCATAATATAATTAGGATTCTACTGATTAAAATGCTAAAAAAAAAGTTACGGCGATGTCATAAATAACTATAGAAGTGAATCATTCTTTGGTTGTAAAAAGTGAAATAATTGGCTTCAGTTTGAATAGTGGAAAGACACACGTAATGGTAACATGAGTAAGAAAAAAAAAGTTTGCCTGTGTTTGGTTAAATGAAGACAGTCTTATGCGAAAATAAACTCACATCATTGTAGTTTACAAAAAGAATTCTCGCACGATAGATAGAATCAAAAAATAGTGAATCCTAGCTCCTGTTTGGGATGCAAGGCCCAAATCTGTTTGAGAAAAAAGGCTCCGCCGCCCCTTACCTCAGCAAGCATATCCTAAATAGCGACTTTTTGAAGACGTTTTCTGTGAAGTCCAGGTTTTACTTCATGGGATGAGTGGAACCAACAGTCTGCATATAGAGAAGCTAGATCTGTAATAATCAATGTCTCTCAAAACGCAACTTCTGGAATAAGACCAGAAGTGGACTAAAAACCAAAACTTTACTCCAGATCTTACTGACGATAAACGTTAAAAAAGGAAAGATGAAGATTCCTATGCAATTAATAAAGAAAATCGAAAATTCATAAGGGCCTCACAGATATGACTATATATAATGCTCAAAATTCTTCGGAGATCTAAAATAAGTAATCTGATATTTTGAATGAGTCTAAAACCAGAAAACAACTTTTTGAGACGGATTGAGAGATTGAACAGTTTTGGCCAAATTGTGAGAAACAAAAAACTGAAACTTGTGACAACTGAACAGATGTATGGGAAGGAAGACTGAGGAAAAATAATGATAGATGATCCTTGACAACCGTTTGTTTTTGCTTAGAAAAGTGTCTATATATATATATATATAAATGGATGTGTGTGATTGTGTATGTAGTTGTTTAGTAAATGTCTCTGGCAATCTATACATCTGCTTATTTGACTGCCATTTTGTCGGTCAGTTGCTTAGTCTAGGCTCCTATCTGTACTTAAATTTGTCTCTCTGTATTATTCATCTTGACACACGCATATATGTACTGGTATATTGTAATTTCCTCATCTTTCCGCAGTTATTCGTCAACAGACCCGCTGCGTGGAGACAATTACTTGTGGAAACCATGTGAAGACTTTACGCTGCACGGTATCACTGCTGGGGTATATTTATGTACACGTTATATCACTTGGTATTTGTATTCTTTTATCACAATAGATTTAATAACAAAATTATTATAAATAGCAAACGTATAACAGCATATCTGAAATATTATCAAATATATAAACAATTATCTAGACAGATAGTTTGTATACGTGAAAGGAAGGGAGAACATATACGTGGTAGGTAGGTAGTTGCATAGCTTACTAAACATTCTCAAATATTATCAAAAATATAAACGAGTACCTAAACAGATAGCTTATATGCGTTGTAGGAAGGGGCTACATAGCCACAAATTTGATTGCTGAAAATTAAACCCAGCTGCAAGAAAAGATAGATTACGATTGTAACGGAAAGTGAATGCAAGGATCTTTGTCTAAAAAGCAGAAGTAATGATAATTACAAAGAAAACTGACACTCCAAAGTGCAGCACTAAAGTAAAATGTAAACTGGTCAAAGCACAAGCAAGTTATTGTGTTTAAGCACTTAAGTACCCTGATAACATCAGATGGAGGATAAATTAAAGTAGAATAGCTCAAGCAGCATTTTACATTTTTATGTAGTCTTTTCTTTTTCAGTTGAGACAAGAAAGAGAATTCTTAAAAGCTACATAAATCTTATCTTGATATAAGAAAGTGAATCATAGACACTTGGTAGATTAGTGAAACATTATTTAGAATCTGTGAAGATGTTGTAGTTTTATAGACGAATGATGGGCTTACCCTGGACAGATAAAAAGAGTAATAAATATGTCTTTAAGGAAGCTGACTCACGTCAAGAACTGATTGCACACATCAGAAAGAGACAATCTACATTCTTTGGTCATGTGATGAGAAGGAGAAAACTGGAGTTCATTGTGGCAGTAGAAAAGCTGGAGGGGAGAAGATGCAGAGGGATACCTAGAGAAAAAATGCTGGACAGTTTGACGTCATGGCATGGAGGATCATCTGTGTCAGAGTAGACTGAGAGTATACAAGACAGAATGTTGAGGATAGACACGACATGAACTATTAAGCAGAAGAAGAAGCCCACTTACTTAACTTACTGAAATATTATCGAATATATAAATAAATAAGTAAGAAAGAAGTTTATGTACGTGGTGGGAAAGGGGCTGCATAATACCCTTTCTAAATTTCCTGGATGCCTGAAAAAGGTGGGGGGGGGGGTGGAATTAATGCTTCCCCTTTACTATAATTTTTCTTGGGGGCAGCTCAAGTGGGCCTAAGGCCCCCCTCCCCCCGCCAGGCGCCCGTGCCTCTGAAAGTCAGATATTAACGATGGTGGTTTTTTTTTCCTGTCGGGGGCAAAATTAAACTAAATAGTCCATGGCGACAGCATGCGGCGCTAACTGCTCTTTTCTACACCGACATACACAGACTGTAGTGACAGTTTTTGTTTTTGTTGTTGTTGTTGTTGTTGCTGTTGTTGTTGTGAAGGTGGTGGTGGTTGTGGTTGCAGTAGTACTGGTACAGGATGGGTGATGTGGTAGCTGTTATACTGGCTACATTTACTTCTCTGTACAAGTTAATGCTACCTATTTAAGTCTGGGTGGACACGGATGCCAGGCTCAATTTAGTTACAATATTTCGTTACACGGTTACTTTTTCATCCTTCATAGAAGATGATTTGTTGGGGGAGGGGGGGGGGGGTAGGCCAGACACAGTTAGCTGAGAGAGCTTATAATATTATTTTAAAGTTCTCATTTCTTAACAATTTCTATTTTAATAATATCGCCAGGGGATGGTTTTTTAATCCTTTGGAGATGGAGATATGATTAGTGGAAAAAAGGAAGAGGGGGGGGGGGGGGGGGGGGGGTTATCCAGACACCGTTACCTGAGAGAGTTTTAAATATTATTTTAATGATCTCATTTCTTAACAATTTCTATTTTCATACTTTCGCCAGGTGATGATTTTTCAATCCTACGGAGAGGGAGATATGATTGGTGGGGGGGGGGGGGGGGGGGGGGGGTTATGTCAAACACAGTTAGCTAAGAGAGCTTAAAATATTATTTTAAAGTTCTCATTTCTAAACTATTTCTATTTTAATAATTTCGCCATGGATGATTTTTCAATCCTTCGGAGAGGGAGATATGACTGCGTCGAGGGGAGAGGAGAAGGGGGGGGGGGTGTGCCAGACACTGTTAGCTGAGAGCTATTTTCTTTTCTCTCCATTTCACTATTCTGGGCCACAGCAACGCGTGGCCGGGTACAGCTAGCAGTGTATAAAGCCTTACATTGTGACAATTATCGTGGAAGTTATCAGTGTGCTCTTATCCCATGTTTTTATCCAGTTATTTGATAGTTTTGACGTTGCTTGCTATACGCGTAATCTCACAGTGCGCTTTGAACTGATGCATACGCACTGAAGTCTATGTTATCAGGTATGTTTATCACATTAGCAATGATAAAGTCAATCAGGAGCAGATACAATGACAAAGTCGGGGCGAATAGGAGGCTCGGCGGGAAAGGAGTGCCTCAATCTCTTATAATTTTCTAGAGTTATTATCATTGTTATTACTATGTGCTGAACAGCAAATACATGTTATACAATGTCTGAAATAATGTGAAATGAAGCAACACATATTGAAAAGAAAATGCCTATACATGGTTATTTATTCTCATCCTATGCTACAAGTGCCAGATGTGATCACTCACAACAAAACATAAATAACACATAAATTACATTGTATAATCCTCTAAAAGAGCCCTGTTAAAACTTAAAACGTTCTTTTCTTGATTTCCTAATTTAAAATCATTGATTATATTGTTAAAAAAATGCAGCGTATTAAATAGGACCTTGTTAGGGTCTCTTCACACTGTGAAGCCCTAAGCGGTATCTTTTTTAAAGCTTAAGCTTAAATCCAGTACTGCTGAACTCCATTGCAATTGTCAGAGAACATAGAACACACACACACACACGCACACAAAAAGGGTGGGGGGGGGGTGTGTCCCCATAAAATTAAGTTGGGGGGAAAAAGGGGGGGGGGAGGGCTGGTTTTCAGAATCAAATACCGCTGATGTGGTTAAGGAAACCATGTCCTCTGGAATCTTACTGAAGTATTTATCTTTTTATCTCTAGGCTATTCAAGAACCTAACGGTGGTTACAGCCAAGACATCGGTATACATAGTACTGCATTCTGCTTTGTAATGAGTGGTAGCCTCACGATTAGCATGACCTCAGCAAATGGTGTGAGGTAAGAATTCTGAACACTTCATATTATTTAGAAACACATTATATTGCTGTCGTCGCCCGGTGCGATGCTAAGTTGGTTAAACGAGCTTCCCGGCGACCGGGTAACAAACTCCTTGTGTTCCAAGTTCACGCTCAGGGATAGGCAGAAAAGCCACATACTTCCCAGATTTACGGTTTTTAATATGGAGTCAAGCCTGCAGGATTGTGATATCCGTAGTACCGAGCCAATGAGTTTACAAATCACGTCACTGCAATCTTTATTGTGAATGTAGTAAGGTGAGAGTTCTGAACACACTATAACATACCCAAAAAAAAAAAAAAAAAAAATTGTTTATAGCTGTCTAATCGAACCCCGCAACCCAGTATTAGGAAGTGCGTTCGCAACGCCACAGATGCCGACGTACATCTTGCCAAATCTTTCACATCAGACATACTTTGTCAAATAAATGTCTAAGACTATATACTTAACCCTACTACTGACCACAACTGACCAACCAAAACTCACACCTCATCATCATCATCATGTAGCAGGTCCTTTGCAGAACGTCGCTCTCATCACAGTATGCCCGAAAGAAACTCAGTCTCTCGCCAATTCTCCCGTCTCATGCACTTTCACACTCAAGGAGTCACTTATATCCTGTGCCCATCTGCGTGTCGGTCGGCCCCTGCCCCTCCTTCCTGGTACCCTGCCTTCTGCTATAATTTTTTCCAATCCGTCGTGGCGATTGATATGACCAAAATATTTCAGCTTTCGAGATAGAATGCTGTTTATTAGCCAATCTTACTTGATGTTCAGATCTTTCAAGATGTCAATATTTCTCATCTTCTTTGTCCAAGATATTCTGAGAATCTTTCTATAGCATTTCAGCTCAAAAGCCCCTATTCTCTTTCTTAAGGACTGAGAGATAGTCCACGACTCACATCCGTATGTAGCCACAGGGAAGATGCATGCTCTCAAAATTCTAATTTTTATCTCCTTGCTGGTGCTTAACCATAAACTTTTAAGGCTGTTCAATCTTCGCATTGCTATGGCAATCCTCCTTTTAATTACTGTCGAACAGTCTCCATTGCTGTTTATTACAGAGCCTAGATATTCACAGTTTGTGACCTTTTTAATTTCTTCATCATTTATTGTTATTTTTGGGTGACAGACAGTTTTATCTGTAGACAATATTTTCGTTTTCTTTAAATTCAAGAACAAATTTTGATCTTCACTGTGCTTTTGGGCAGACAATATTACATTTTATATTCCTTTTACGCTGTTCAAAAGGAGGTCTGTGTCATCTGCGCAGCGGAGTTGCGAAACAAAGTTGCCACGAATTTTGAGCGGATCATAACTGTCACAAGTCTGGTCATTTTTGACATTTCTCATTATATTTTCTGCGTATATATTGAAAAGGTATGGTGAGAGAATGCACCCCTGCCTCACCCCCTTTTGCACCTCAAACCAATCAGATGTTTCACTAGCTGATCTGATGGCTGCTTGTTGTTCATGATAAAGATTTTCAATTAAATGCACTAAATGCACTGGAAACCCCAAACTTTTCATAATAGTCCACAGTTTGTAGTGTTGGACACAATCAAATGCCTTGCTATAACCAGTAAAACAAACTCACACCTAGCAAGCAATATTATTACCTCCCAGCCAACATGGCGGCGATATGAAACATTTTTACAAGTTACGCGATGTGAAAAAGTTTACAAACTGTACCAAAAGTGAAAAAAAAAAGAAGTTTACAAGATGTCCTGCGTGAAAGATTTTCCAAGTTATTTATCAGTGAAAAAGAAGTTGACAAGCCGACTGATGTTCGAAAAGTTGGGAAAAGTACAGATGTTTGAAAGTGAGAAAACTTTGACAAGTAAAGAAACATTTTTTTTTTTGGAAGAGTTGAACGATGTTTCATATTGTATTCCCACAAATTGTCAACTTTTTTTTTCACTGACATATAACTTGTCAAAATTGTTTACCTCCGGCACCTTGTAAACTTCTTTTTTCACGATTTTCATATATCTTGTGAACTTTTACGCATCGATTAACCTGTAAACGTTTGCACATTTAGCAACTTGTCAAAGCTTTTCACTATGGGGCATCTTTTCGTTTATCGATCATCTTGCCAAATTCTTTTTCGCTGCATACACCTCGTTACATCTTTCACATCTGACACACTTTTCCAAATATATGTCTTGGACCATATTCTTGACCCTACTACTGACCACAACTGACCAACCAGAACCCACACTTAGCAAGCCGAGCATTTTAATACATACTCAGCTAACATGGTGGCGATATAAAACATGTTTACAAGCTACGCGATGTGAAGAAGTTGACAGGCTTTACGAAACATGAAAAAGAAGCGTACAAGACGCCCAGCATGAAAGATTCACCAAGCTGTATATCGGTGAAAAAAAAAAAGATGATAATCTAACCAATGTAGGACAAATTGAGGCGTGGGGGGGGGGGGGGGGGGAGATGTCTCCAAGTTAGTCGATGAAAGTTGATCGATGTAAGAAAAAAAAATCTGTACGAAAATGTGAGAAGCGATTCTAAGATGTCCAACGCGAAAAGACGTTGACAAGCTGTATGTTAGTAAAATCGCTGTTAGCTGATCCCGTGCAAAAATTCTGCAAGATGTACAACAAGTGGGGAAGGAGGGACCTACTACCGTCAGCAACCCATATATCCCCATCGCTGATCCCATTTGTATTCTTAATTTCATTGTTCTGCAGCTTTGACTTAACTTAGGTAGGTAGGTAGTTGTACCCCACTAGGACATCACACAAGCGATAAACACCCGTTGACACAAAGTGCCACCATGCAGAGAATCACGCGTGGATAGGTCACAGAAACCCCTTTAAGCCGTTAGGCCATATCTATGGCTAGCCCATATTAATGCCCCGGCTATATTCAGGACCTCCGGCGGAAGCACGGGAGGGGCTTCAATTAACAAACAAATGCATCCCACATAGGGACGACTTGTGTATATACAACAAACTTAACGTTCTAATATAAACATACAGCATGCATCGTAAGATTCACGTTCCATACAAAACTCAAAATGATACAGAAGAGAATGATCACATTGAATCAATGAACTAAACACGTAACATATAATAGGGGGATGACCACCACGTTAGTGGACGGGATTGATCGCGGGATGAGTAATGAGTCACCGGTGGTTTAAGTTTCTCTCGAGTACAAACTACAGAGACAAGACGGAAAGAAACACTTTCTCTCTTTCTTTGCCAGTTCGCTCGTTACTACACAGCGCTTCTTTGCATTTGTTGATTAAAAAATAGTTTCATTATGTATTATGGTGATTTGTCGCGATTAATTAATAATCAGATGAATTTTTTGAACTTGTCTTAAATTTTACTGTTATTAAAAAGTGGGCAATGAGTGAAAAAATGTATGCTTATTATTAATTTTTTAAATATACATGTTGTTATTTTTCCACCCCTCTCCTCCGGCCCCCTTCCTTTCAGTAACGACATCCGAAACGGCTCGCAACCCCTCATACTGTTGCTACGCCACGGCTCTCAACACAGAAAATAATTATAGGCTGGAGTATATCTTCTTTTCTCTATTCCTTTCTGCTGGAGCTGTGAATGCCAGGCAGTATATTACTATTTATTTATTACACTAACTACAAAAACACATTGCATTAAAATCTACAGGTTGAGTTACGTGACTTGTTCATGCGGATCAGGCAGTTCATTTCAATTTGAGAATGAAAATCCATCCCTAATTTATGTAAGTACCCAAATATTGACGTATCTCCTCCTCCTCCCCCTCTTCCTCCTCCAGAAGCAGCAATGCTATGTTTGTATTTTAAACCGGTGATAACGAGTTATAATCCATTGTCGAGGTGAACATTTCGCTCTGTTGACCTATGCTTCCTTAACATTACACTCTGAAATGTGTAGCATACAATATTTATCGTAAAAAAAAGGCGGCTGGTGAAATACTTATCAGATCACCCAGTGGGCACTGATTGGATAGAAATATAAGACTAGCACCTCTTACTTAATATGCCTCGTTGTAAGAAAAAGGGATATTTATATCCCATGAGGGTTTCAAGGACCCATTTTTTTGCGTGAGGGTGAGGGGGGGGGGGGCGAGGGGGGGGGGGTGTAGACTAACTGCTCATTAAGAAGCATGCAGTAACAGGAAATAAACTAAGGGTGTTGGACCGAAACATGGAGATATGGCAGACTAGCTGTAAACGACAACACAGTGTGACATTTTTTCCTTTCAGGAAAGAACGCAGAACAAGAAAAGTTAACGAATTGCTTGCTTGTTGTACCCTACCAGGACATTACACAAGCGATAAACACCCGGTGGCACAAAGTGCCACCATAAGGATCACCCTTTGAGAGGTCATGGAAATCCTTTTCACCCGTTATGGCCACATTTGTGGCCCAGCTATATTCAGGTCCCCCAGCAAAAGTCAGGTTGGGGTTCCTAATAACGAAAAATTGCAACAAACAAGGGGATGACTAGATATATTTATATATTGGCGAAGTAGTTGTAGTACATTTTACCCCACTAGGACATCACACAAGCGATAAACACCCGATGGCACAAAGTGCCACCATGTGGATGAGGATCACCTGTGGAGAGGTCCCAGAAACAGCGTTCAGCCATTAGACCATACTTATGGCCGGGCTATATTGCGGCCCCTGGCAAGAGCCAGAGCTGGGCTTCAAATAACGAAAAATTGTATCCCTTCCACAGGGAAATTCAGGATGGCATAGAAAGTAAACAATTCTTTCTGTTAGTAGTGAGACAAGAGCCACGAAAGAGTAATGGCTGGAACTGTGTTTCCCACTGAAGGGGCGCTACCCCGTCGATCAAATGTGTGGGTAGGTGGCACGGCCCAGGGAGGGGGTAAGACCCTCGCGTACAGTTAGGAGCAGTAGTTAAAGATACGTTAGCGGTGGAGACACAGACGAAGTAAATGAAAGAAGAATAAAATGTTCTGTCACCATCCTGGGCGAAGCTGGAAAATTAGATTTAGCGTAATTGTAAATAAACGTTTGGCTCCCACGGCGCCCAAGCCTAAAATAGGTACCAGGAAATACGTATAAACTTTTCATTTATTTTTAATTTTTTTTTTAATTTGCGCATAATCTCAGACAATTTAATAATGCCATCAGTAAATGCATGTTGCGAATAATATGTTTTTTTTAACTGCAAGTCATACAAATGAGATATCAGATAGTAATGCTGCAAAAGAAATAGCAACACAGACCAAATATAATTAGTCTTGAAGTGGACGAACGACCAGAACTTCTCCCTGGAGCTAACAGATTAAGAACACCAAGAAGAAGACTCGACAAGTTGAGCTGGAATCCAACTCAAATTTGTGGGGGGGGGGGGGGGGGGGGAAGAGGGATTTGACTCTATGAGAATCTGAACCCTAAATCTTCAGGTGACTGGTGAGCATTCAGCCTCGACACCATTACAGCTCAGCTCCCTGTCCAATTCTGAACCCTTCAAAAAATAAAGTTTATTCATTCAGACATCAAACTGGTTATCTCTGAAGCAGTAAAAAAAAAGTGAAGATCCCTTTTCACGCCTTTCGGCGCATCGGGCATATGGGCAGAGCGTCCCATATTTTTACAGACCATCAGCACTCTGTGGGTCAGCATTACGCCGGCTGTCTTCACTTTCCCAGGACAGCCCATCCTGGTACCCATTTTAGGCTGGGTCGACCTGCGACGTCCCATACCCCGACAAAAATCCACACAGCCTGCAGTGGGTTTCGATCGCGGTATGCTGGCTCACGAGTCGGACTCGCAACGCCTTAGCCACAGACGCCGCATCTCTGAAGCAAATACATTTTAAAGAAAACCACCAACTACCATTCAAGTAAACTTGATAACAATTACACAATCAAAAAAATTCAACATATAAGTTGAACTAATGCTTCAGCTTCTTCTTCACCGGCTGCTTTTCTCCTGACTTTGAATTAGGTGTCTCATTCCCTTCCCCATCTCGAGCTGGCTGCCACTTCAGGGGTATGTATTATCGTATTGCCGAATACATCGCTAATCGAGTACCGATTGACTTATACAAAATGGGTCTTTCACCACATATCCGATACGCCAGTGGTAAAATAATGGTTCATTATAATAATAATTAAAAAAAACACACACACGCACGCACGCACGCACACACACACACACACACACACACACACACACACACACATATATATATATATATATATATATATATATATATATATATATATATATATATATATATATATATATACATACATACACATATCGACTTCTAGCGAAGGCCATTTTGTTAGTTGATGTTGATACTAATTATTTGATTTTTAAATTTCTCTCAGAATTTTAAGTTCGTCTCAGACGTCTGCTGTCCTAATTTTGTACCTAGTAGTTCTAGCAGCTCTATGAGTGCAGGAACCGTGATGGTCATCGTGTAAGTTTCCTTTTGGCCTTTTTTTTTAATTATTTGTATGGATCTATTTTATTACACACGAATATCTTATCTCCACAGGCGCTCAAGTCACTATATAATTTACTCACGCACCTACGCAGAAACGCACGCACACACACATGCGCGCGCTCACGCACTATAAAATGAAAAACAATATTTTAAAACAATGCACAAACTTCAAAGCACCAGCGATATGAAAACATGTGTACGCTAACATCACCTGGATTGCTTTCTTTTTTAACTTTCATTTTGTTATTTTGCTTTCAAGTAAAAATATGGGCATCGGACATATTGTAAGTAAATAAAGTTCGGAATCCTTTTCATTCCAGCGGCCCACCGGCATATGATTATCGTCGATATCTGCATCCTTTGTGTGCCTTTAGAAGACTCATAGGGCTCGCATTTGATTCCTACAATTCTCTTTATTGCATGCAACTCTCTGGATGTCTGACATGGAGTTCCAAGAATTTCTTGAATTTCGCTATAATGTTCTTCCTAATGTTTCCCCTGACGTCCTTTTTTTTTCAGAATGTTTGTTTCGTATTTCAGTGCCTGTTTTGTAATCCTTTGCTTATTTCGTTTCAGGGTGTGCCCAATATATCCCCGACTTCTTTGTCTTATTGTAGTCGATACATGTATTTGTCAAGACATTTCTCTGATCTCCTCACTCTTTTTGAAAGCATACCATTTTATGTTCATGATTGTTTCTCATAAATTTATTTTAAAAAATACATTCAACTTCCGTTCTTTCTCTTTGGTGGTTCTCCAACTTTTGCTGGCATATTTTAAAACTGAAATCACGTTAGAACTAAAGATTCGTAGTTTGGTCTGTACATCTTGGAGCTCCTTTTTTGGGGGTGGGGAGGGGGGGGGGAGGCTTTTTAAAGACGTTGTTGCTTTGCCAATGCGTATGACTGACATATGATGCAAAACTCATATTTTGTCGATCAATCCCCTCGAAGGATGATTTAGCTAACATCACTGTCACGTGATGCCCGTGTTCCTCTCCTAGAACTGAAGTTTTTTTTTTTTTTTTTAGTATCCAGAAGCCACGAGTTGTTAACCTTTAGGCTCGGCATTATGGATATCGCAACCCTTCGGCCTTGATTCCATGATAAATACCGTAAATCTGGGAGAAATGTGGCTTTTCTGCCTACGCCCGGGCGTGAACCCGGACCACAAGGAGTTCGTTGCCCGGTTAGAACTGAAGGTGAAGGGGTACACCATTGAAGAAAGGCAAACAGTTAAATCGGTGGCTCGATTATTGGCCCTGGTTTCGCAAAAACCAACTGACTCTCTTCTTCTGGTGAGGCACGCGATTGGCAACAACTGATTCTCTTCTGAAGTTGTATCATCTTAGCCAGATGTCCAAACCACTTTAAATCTCCCCAAAGACCGCCTCCTCAATACACCCGTGGTGTATATGGTGTATATAACCATCTAGACGCGATTGAACAGACTGTAATAAGAATTATCTAGAACTAATAACTAGCAATCAAAATATAATTTAAAAAAAAAAAAAAAATAAACTATACTGAGATAGACATAGCTATTCAATTAAATGACACATAGATGAGAAAATAATTTTAGTAGCTGAACAGTAAGAATGAACCTCATTTCATTACAGTACACACAAACTCCACAAGGGAAATGTCAATGTATTTGCGGAGAAAACAGTGGATCTAACCACAGCCAGCAACCAATATTCATCGTAGTTAGATCGTCCGTTCACTGTTTATTATTAGTTTGTGAAATTAGTTGTAACTTGTAGAATCTGGGATAGAAACTCTCACCTTAAGAATCCTTTGCCTCTGGCTGTCAACTCTCTCCTGTCTCCTTAATTTGAATTGAGGAGTCAAAGGTAAGTCATTATTCCGACGATAAATCCAATGAGAAATTATATCAGACATAGTAGATGTAATCCAATTGAGAAATACATATCCACACACTTAGACACGGTGTGTTTAGTATATCATACACACTAATGTGCCAAATCTTTATACCGACATTAGGTTATCAATGTCAGACTTGGAAATTAACAAAAGAAAACGAGAGAAGACTAACCACCTGTGAAATGAGATGTTTGAGAATGGCTGCGAATAAAACCAGAAGAGATCGAGTGAGAAACGATGTGATTACAAGAACTATTGGAACCATACCCATCGTTAAATTTATTGAGAAGCAAAGAATGAAATGGTTTGGTCACCTAATGAGAATGGAACCAACGATGCCAGCATCAAGAGCATACAACATGAAAATCGAAACACCAAGAGGCAGGGGAAGACCAAGAAGAAGATGGATTGAAGGAGTCACGGACAACTTGAGACTTCATAACATCACGGCATATGAAGCGACTTAGCGCGCCCTGGCTCGGTTGCCGATCATCTGATAGACTGCGACGCCTAGCGGCACAAGCAGATTTTGACAAAAGAAGATGAAGAAGAATGTGCCAAACATGGACCCTTGCTACAACTAATGAGTGGAACAACAGAGATGAGATGTCTTAGGAGAGCTGCCTTGTGACAAGAAGAGATTAAATCAGAAATAAATTTTTTTTTAGAAGACTAGGACTAAAACCAGTCACACAATTCATTAAAGAACAACAAATGAGATGATTTGGCCATCTGACGAGAATACCCTGGTACCAAGTGCTACAGAGAGCCAAGCTAAAAAAAATTAGAATGAATAAAGATCAAGGGGAAGACCACGCAAGACATGGAGCGACACCATCAGAAGCCACCTAACAGAAATTAACACCAACTTGTAAAATGCGTTGGAAAAAGCGCACAAACTATCCTTAAGCTCCTTTCAACACCTCGCTGAGGTAAACGGTGGAAGAGAAGAAGGAAGAAGAAGAAGAAAAAGAAGAAGAAGAAGAAGAAGAAGAAGAAGAAGAAGAAGAAGAAGAAGAAGAAGAAGAAGAAGAAGGAGGAGGAGGAGAAGAAGAAGAAGAAGACAAAGAAGAAGAAAAAGGAGCGACACCATCAGGAGCCACCTAACAGAAATGAACACCAACAATGCGTTGGAAAAAGCGCACAAACGATCCTTAAGCTACTTTCAACACCTCGCTGAGGTAAACGGTGGAAGAGAAGAAGAAGAGGAAGAAGAAAAAGAAGAAGAAGAAGAAGAAGAAGAAGAAGAAGAAGAAGAAGAAGAAGAAGAAGAAGAAGAAGAAGAAGAAGAAGAAGAAGAAGAAGAAGAAGAAGAAGAAGAAGAAGAAGAAGAAGAAGAAGAAGAAGAAAAAGAAGAGGAAGAAGAAGAAGACAAAGAAGAAGAAGACGATGGGCTAATCACTCAGATAGTAGAAGTGTCCTGAGACAGATCAAAGAACAATACAGTGGAACCTCGCTTAACGAGCATAATTTGTTACAGAATCATACACGTTAAGCGAAACACTCGTTATGCGAAACAATTTTTCTCATATAAAATTATGTAAAATACGATAATGCGTTCCATGTCGAAAAAAAAAAAAATACTCACAAAATGCTATGTATAACGTTTATTCAAAGAAAATTATATACATATTGTTTGTTAAGGAGAGCGAATCTTCTTTATCTTTTCTTCAAACGCGAAACGAACCCACCTGGAATGCTAATTCGATTTGCAGCAAACACACAAGAAGGTCTAAATGATTATGATACATAGCTAATTATATTTTTATACTAGAAAGATGTCCAGAGACATTTGTTTTTGCCGACACTTCAAAATTTGGCAAAAATTCGACAACGCATTATCATTAAATAAATTTGCAGCGCTCATAGCCACTTCCTTATTAGGGTGAGGCTTCTCAATGTAAGATACAACAGTTTCGTAAGCTTTCAGCATTTCTCTTATTTCGCCAGAAGATTGTTGCTTCTTTGAAAAAACATTCCTCCAAAACTTCTTGCTGTGAAACACAATGCAACTTTATAAGCTCTTCGGTGGTCAGATTTTGGCTGTGCTCTTCCACAAGCTCTTCGATACCACTGTTAACCACCTACAATCCCATAATAGTGACCAAAGACACAATCGAGTTGACTACAAGTTCCACGGGTATTGTTTCGAACCCCTCAAAGTCAAAAATCGACAACGCTCTCCGGTCAAAGCTTCTTCCAAGCAGAAGTTAGGATTCTCTTGGTAATCCCTTCCTTCGCCTTGTCGATCACCTTGAGACAGGCAACGATGTGGAAGTGATTTTTCCAAAACTCTTTGAGAGTGAGGTTGGTGCCTTCAGTCACCTGAAAACAATGCTCGAAGAGAGCTTTAGTGTAGAGCTTCTTAAAGTTAGAAATAACTTGCTGTTCCATGGGCTGGAGTAACGGAGTGGTGTTGGGAAGCAGAAAATGGATCTTGATAACCTTAAATTCTTCAGGGAGGTCATCTTGTAGGCCTAGAGGATTCATGAACACATATCACAATATAACACAAGTTTGAGAAATGTGTGATCGCAAGCGACACTACGATGCCACTATAACGAGTGCTAAACACAGACTGATGTAACAGGCGCACAATCCGGGACTTCCCCTCTCCTCGCCACTCGTTATGTCAAACGTCGCTCGTTAAGCAAGTCATTCTTTTACAATTTCTTTTGCTCGTTATGCGAATTACTCGTTATGAGAGGTGCTAGTTAAACGAGGCTCTACTTTTGTTTCCCAGCTCAGTTTGAAAGTGGTCTTTGTTATTCTGGATGATCTCCTGCAGATAGCAGTTGCCAGTGATATGCCATGAATGACTGAATCGAATGTCACCATAAAGCTCACACTAAGCATCTACAATATTTTTCCTCCTCACAGGCAGATGTTAGTCATCATTTAGGTTTAATTCATATATTATCTGTGCTTAGTGTAGCACAACATCGTTCACCGGCCGAGGTTGTCGTTAATGTTTAGGTCCAGTCAACAGCTGCGGCTGGTGTGAAACCATGCTGGTGAGCTGATTATGAACTGTACTAGAACTGCTGGATTTTGGGTCTATTCTCAGCCAGCCCTGGACAAGAATCTACAGAGCACTCTTTTTCACTGTCATCCTCTCTGTATGCTTCAGGTTGTGAACGAGTGGTGGAGTTTTCTGTATCCCACATGGAGACATCTCTCCATCTAATCTCCTCCACCCAGGGAATTTCAGAAGGGAGAAAGAATGTTTTTCCTCCAAAGGATAAAAATATAAGCATAACAAACGAACAGGGCAAGGCAATGCTCCCCTGGACTCCCCATGGGCGAGATATTTTATCAACAGACTGCAATGGCCCAAGCCCAAACGGTGTTAGGCTTTTCATGTGGACTAGGGTCGGGTACCCAGTCCTAAACGTGGCTATCTGCAATAAATACATCTTTTATTTCATTAACTGAAATCTGGGGCACAGGTTACATCACTACGTAGTCAAACTTATCCGTATCCGATGGAATAAACACACAAATCTAACGAAATAACCCCAGGTCTGCCTGCGCTTAGCCACTGTGCTTCAAGTCTTCCGTCTCTAAGAAACACCTGCATCACAGTCTGGTGTTTATGTTTGTTTTTCGACTTATGATTGGTTAAAATATATTTTTTTTTTTAGCCTATGGTGTTATGCTCTGAAATGAATTCTGTCAGGATTCCATAGTTTTGGATTCCATTTATGTGATATACACGGCTTACAATTACACTTTTTTTAGGGGTGTCGAGTGGATTTATGACACTTGTTTCTACAGCGAGGCGCTTTTTTCAGATAGAGGTGATAAGTCCTGTACTGAGTCACTCTACCCCTCACTATTCTGGCGTGCTGTCTGTTCCAAGTGCTCAGTACTTATTCAGTCAGGTACACAGATGTTCCAAGTGCTCAGTACTTATTCAGTCAGGTACACAGATGTTCCAAGTGCTCAGTACTTATTCAGTCGGGTACACAGATGTTCCAAGTGCTCAGTACTTATTCAGTCAGGTACACAGATGTTCCAAGTGCTCAGTACTTATTCAGTCAGGTACACAGATGTTCCAAGTGCTCAGTACTTATTCAGTCAGGTACACAGATAAATACAGCTCACATACGTCACTAACAGGATTCTCCGCACAGTTTCATTATGTATAATCACCTTAATTAATCAATTAACATTATTCCTTCGGTCATATGTCCGCTGTCTAGAATTCTCTGCGTCATAGTCGTCCAGTCAACTGTACTTACATGCTGTCAGACGCTGAATCTTTCAAACTATAGTAGAACTCACTTTAGCTGGCTGGTCAGACCTTCAGCATTCAGCTGTCACTGCAGGACTAGTCAACACATACGAAAGCTTGTACACTGGACGTGATAACATCACACAGGTCCATTCAACAAAGCCCTTTGCTTTGTTAAAAAAAAAAAAAAAATCACCGTCCCGTTCAGCCAGCATTCCCGGAAGGGTGAGCTTTAGGGTATAATTGTGACTAAGTTTTTTGCGCCATATGTTTATGAGGTTTTAAACAACGGATCAACATCATGGCACACAGGTGTAACCCACAAGTGCTCGTTCTTCTTCTAACTCAAATTTGAGTCCGAAGAAGCTCAGCACAGTGCACAGGCTTTGTAGCACCGGCGAGGATCCTAAAATACTTTGGGTAGATTTTAAACTCAAAATTTTGCCCGGGCAGCGCCGTTAGGCCACTTTTTTTCGACTTCCAACGACCACGGGATTTTTTACATGCGCAACAATGCACACGGGTGTCCGATCTCACTACCCAGAGACCAGAGGGAATTACTAGAAGTCCAAGACTACATGAAAAATCCCAGCGCTTACCGGGGATTGAACACCATGCGTCGAGACCACGCATCCCCCTTGCGCCACATAAAACGGCTTAGCATTGCAAGAGCCCTGAAAAGGATTCCTGCAGTGTTGATACGATTAAAGGAAATAGACCCAAAAACTGTCTAGACCTGCGACGAAGTCGTCTACCGACCAGCTAATGAGCGACCGAGTCGCCGGTGAACAAAACCTTTTCCCGTTGTCACCCCTTTTAAAGAAGACTTTCTCGTATGTAATCCATACATCAATTTACACGTACATGATTCCACGTGTCGCTTTCGTCTACAAACCTTCTCCTGTTTCTCTCTCGTCTTATGACCTCTTCCATGTTTCGTTCTATTTTTATACGGAAGTTTCCTGTTCTTAAGCAAGGGATTATTTCCATGTCCCAATATCGTATGCAATTTTTCGTTATTTTAAAGTCGACTGCTGCCGGGGGCTTTTATATAACCAAGGTCAATCAATAAATCAACCAAGGGAATTATATGCCCCCCCCCCCCTTTTCCATACGGCCCACCCCTCTTCGATATAATAATATGAACTTTGAACCATTACAGGTTTGATTCCCGGCAATATAACTATATCTTTAGATCTTTATGTTATCTAGTGAATCCTTCTATCTCCAGGCTTCTTACTATGAGTGCCGATCAGTTCTTGTCTATTTTTTTTTTTTACACACCAGCTACTAAAAAAAAGTTCAACGGCTCTTTCTTTCCTTTCAGATTTTTCTCTGTGCTTGTCGTGTACGTTCTGTTTGGGACAATATTCCAAGTCGCCGTAAGAAAAGCACAAGGACGAGACAGGATACCCAACGTTTCTCTGTGGACGGCGTTTCCTAGTCTCGTTAAGGTAACATGTTACTTCAGTGCATACAAAAGTGTAATAGTCTTAAGTACAAGTAAACGCCCATTGTCTCGCCACTATCCTAGTAGTGCCAGACGTATATTTTATAGATCAACCTGGCAGTCGACGGGTGATGTGGTCAGCATCAGGCTGGTCGCCTTTGCTTCCTAGAACTTTACCTGGTACCCATCTGAGGCTGGATCGACCAAGAAGTCAGCGTCATTTTTGAACAAATCTAGCTTGATTCAGATTTGAACCTACGCCCTTCTAGCCGGAAGCTAGCGTCTAGCCGCTACACAAAGGCTTCTCTTTAATTGTGTAAGTAAACAAATCAAAATTCCCTTTTCACACCAATAACGAATTGGACATATGGTGCTAAATCCATTTTTTTAAATTTGATGGGCAATGCCGTGAACACCAAGCCCGTCGCTTTTACTTCAAATGACATTTCCTGATTTTTATTTAAGGTTAGGCTGACCTGGAAACCAATACCATGCCATGTCAAAAGGCTGTCCAAAAACATCTCGTATTGTCTTCCTCTATGTCTTTTTGGAAACGTCGGAGTTGCTTTTTTTTTTTTGTCTATCCAATGAGTTCTAAGAATTCTTATGTAAAACCACATTTTCAAGGCATCAAGAAATTATTTGGCTAGTTTATTAATTCCAAGAAAATGTGTCCATCTGTCAAAAATGTGAGACGAAAGACGAAAAATTATGTTCGCTACCTTGTGTTTACCCTGGTGAAACAGACAGTATGTGAATGTAGTCGATTATGTGAATGTAGTCGATTTTGTGTTTCAGCTCGAAGGATTCATTTATTTACTTCATTTTAATCCATTGTTACTGTAGGATTCACCTGACGAGGTACAGCGACAAAAGCCAGGCACTAAAATGTATAATCTATTGACTTCTTTGTTCAAGTTTATTATTGTCCAAGATTCACAGCTATATGTTAAAACATGCTCTATATAGCATGAAAGAATTCTTAGTCTATCCTACATTGACATGGATTCATTTCTAAATCAGTATCTTTCCCAGTGCGACTTTTCGGTGCTTTATTAATATACTACCCCAAACAGGGGAAATCCACAAATCCTTCGGTCGTATTGATCATTTAGGGCTAGATCTATAGCTCGATGGGCGATGTCAGAATTACGCTAGCCGCCTTTACTTCCTAGGACTTTACCTAGTACCCACTTAAAGCTGGATCGACCCGGAAGCCAAGGTCATTACCAAAAAAAAAAAAAAAAATCCGGCTTTGTTCGGATTCAAATCGACAATCTTTCGATTCGCTGTCGAGCGTCTAGCCGTTACACCACAGCGGTTCCCACGGTGAGATAAGAAATAATTTATCAGTCCAAAGTCAAATATTTCTAAACTGACAAGTTGAATGCAGCCGAAAGGAAAACTCCACCACTAAGGATTATGAT